TGTGTCAGAATCATTAGGAGTGGGTGAGACCATGATCCATAGTGTACACCAGGCCCTGGTAATTCTTCTGACCAGGCAGGTTTGAAAAAATGCTGGCCTGGCAGCTTGGGCAGGTTCTGGAGTCAGATAGGCCCAGTTTCTTTCTTAAAAAAAAAAATCTATATCTATCTATAGATAGATATAGATATAGATATAGATATAGATTAGATATAGATATAGATATAGATATAATAGATATCAAGGAAGGGAAAGGGAGAGAGAGATAGAGACATCAATGATGAGAGAGAATCATTGATCAGCTGCCTCCTGCACACCCCCTACTGAGGACTGAGCCCACAACCTGGTCATTTGCCCTGACCAGAAATCGAAACATGTTCTCCTCATTTATAGGTCAATGCTCAACCACTGAGCCACACCGGCTGGGCAGGCCAAGTTTCATCTTCACTGCTACCCCTCCTGGTCTCGCAGGGCCTTGGAGCCTCTGGGAACCTCAGTCTCTTCCTCTACTGACTGGGAATGATATTATCTCTCTTACGGGTTTTTTGGGAGAAATCCCAGGGTGCTCTGTACACAGCAAGCTGGGGTAGGGGGTTCAGGAAAGGACTAATTGTTATTGTCCACAATGATATTCAAAGACATAACCTTCCTGGCAAACATGGACAGACCACACTGAGCTGATGGGTTAGAGTCAAGAGCAGAAATCTTGAGTGTTTTGAGCACCCTCTGAGACCTCATTTTAGGTGCTAGAGTTCTTCGCATGGAAATTTCCAAATGTTGACAATAATACCATGATCCCTGGGGTCCAGAAACCTGGAATTGGGAAATGCCGAGTGATCCTGGGATTCTCAGAGCTGAGGGTGCTGAGGCCGGAGAGGGTTTGACTCACCTGTGCCTCAGTTTCCTCCTGTATAAGATGGGCCATTGTAGTTCTTACTTCACCAGTGCTTAGAGGATTAAATGAGATGAAGCATGGAAGGCTGATATTCACTGTGAGAGTTAGCTAACAGGGCTGGTGTTGGTGGTGGTCTCACTTTCTCACGGAGGAGGAAACTAAAGGGCCAGGGGGATTCCCCGCTCGAGCAGGACTCCCGCTGATGAGTGGGGGGCTGGGATTTGGACTGAGGCCTTTGAGAGATCTGCACTCTCGGGGCTGATCTGAGGTGAGGAGGGGCTGTCTCGGGTCCCCTCCAGGTTTGCCCCTCTCCTGCAGTCTTTTCTGAAAGTAAGCATGAAGGGGAAGTTGGTGGGTCCTCCCAGTTTTGGGGTCCTTGTCTTTTATGAACTTTCTACTTTGTCATAGGGAATTCCCAAATATTCTCTCATCTGGGGTTTCTGTTGACCCACAGCAGGAAGCCGTAGGCTAAGAGCTGATTTTATATGTATTGGCTCATGTGTTCCCAAAGCAAGGGTGCAATAAAATGTGAAATATGGTGGCCAACCAAACAGACTCATGCTATCTTTCTGAGGCTTTTTTTTTTTTTTTGAGGAGCACACACTCACACACACTCACTCACACACATGTACACACATTCATTCACATGTGCACATGTGCATATATAACACACACCACACACATATACAAACATATACATATGTTCAAGCACATATCTATTCACATAGACACCTACACATACCATCATACATGAACATGTGCACACAGCATGTACACATATGCAAATACACCCTGGACTGTGTGAGATGGGTCCGCCGTTGAACTCCCTCTAGTGAATGCTTGGCTGGGCTGGGAGGGCTCCAAGACAGGTTGAGTTTCTGCAAGCATTTAATACAGGTGGCTTCTGAGTTCTAGAAATGCCCCCAGGAGCCCCAGTTCATGCTTAAATAAATTCGTCACCTGCTGGATGATAACACCATTAGAACGAACCACTTCGATAATTTAAGGCTTTGTTCCTCAAGAGTTTTCCATCACAGAATTAAGAGAGTAGGCTCCCCTTCCCGGGAGTGTGGACCAAGAGGAAAACCTGCCCCCAATGACCTTGATGACATCTTTTTACATGGAAGTCCATGTCATTTTTGCTTTGCATTCAATAGTATAGGCAGAGGCATTTTTAAAAACCATTGTGTCCCACCCATTATTTTAGCAAAAATTATAATTCCCCACCCCTCCATACCTCATGTTTATCTAGAATCTTCCCATGGTCTCTTCATTTGAAAAGCCAAGCTGACGTTAAGGTGATAACCTGAAAAGCAATCTTTTCTTCCTAACGGTCAGCCATTCACACTTTAGTAAGAATGATGACACAATCTTAAGAGTAGGTTTTCGATGACAACAATTGATGAAACCATTAAAACCCAGGATCCCTATGTGGGTTAGAAAGAGGAAATAGTGACACCTTAAAAAGAGTCAAATATAATGAGGAAGTTGGAACAAAGACATTTTTCCAGTTTCCCTATGGGGTTTTAGCCTCCCAATAATCCCCTGGTCTGTGGGCAGCTCCATCCAGAATGTGGCAAAGATCAGGGGCAGGATTCTCCCAGAGAAACTTCTCTCCCTGGCCATGAGCTCAAGCGTCTGGACCAGCGGTTCTCAACCTGTGGGTCGCGACCATCAGAAAACACATATAGCATATCAGATATTTACATTACGATTCATAACAGTAGCAAAATTACAGTTATAAAGTAGCAATGAAAATAATTTTATGGTTGGGGGTCACCACAACATGAGGAACTGTATTAAAGGGTCGCGGCATTAGGAAGGTTGAGAGCCACTGGTCTGGACCCTCCTTCATCACCCTCTGTTCCATCCCATCACAGGGAGGGCTTCTGCTTTGTTCTTCTCTTTGTATCGACCCTTTTCTACAGTTTGCTGGGGCACTGAGGATATCAGCATGTGGGGCTCTTCTGAGAATATTTGGCACTTCCCAAACACTTGCACAAACCTTTAAACTTTGTTCACTATATATAACATGCTATCTTACATGCATATCAATGAATTTTTAATTAAATTATTATTTGCTTACCCAATGGGATCATAGTTGTACCCATTCGTAATGTCTGCTTCTTACTTGGATTCAAATCCCATCCCTGCCACTTGCTGGCTGTGTGTCCTTGGGCAGGTTACTTAACCTCTCTGTGCCACAGTTTTCTCATCTATAAACGGGGGATAAAAACAGCACCTAGCCTTGGCTGGGTGGCTCAATTGGTTGGAGTTCATCCCGTACAACAAAAAGGTTGCAAATTCGATTCCTGGTCCGGACACATACCTAGGTTGCAGGTCTGATCCCCTCTTGGGGTCAGGACATGTACAGAAGGCAATTGATTGATGTTTCTCTCTATTTCTTCCTTTTTCTCTCTCTAAAAAATCAATAAAAATATATCCACGGGTGAGAATTAAACAAACAAACAAACACAGAATCTAAGTTGTGAGGATTAAATGTGAAGTCCTGGGAATGGTGCCTGGTACCTGCATATTAGCTCTGTAATTATCAGTGGAGTTTGCCCCATGCTGGAAAAGATTAATTTAGCAAAACAGATGGGGGAGTGTGATCGTTTGTAGTGCAAGGTCATTCTTCCTTGTACCAAAGCCTCACTGGGGAGTCACTCCAGCTTGAGTACATTCACGGGGATGAACTAAATTGCAGAGGGTCCCAGGCAGCAGGGCGATGCCCGTGCTGGCAGCCAACCTGTTGGTGCAGTTGGGATGGCAGTATTAAAAACGGTTCCTGCGGGTGGGCTGCCCTGGGCAGGCAGGCTTTGGAGGACACGGATGGGTGTGACCCTCCGGTTTGCCAGAATTCAGCTCTTGAAACAGCCCGCCTCAAGCTGCCTGGCCCCCCAGATGTGCTCTTGAGCCTCTCAGGCCTCTGTGATCTCCCCAGGCAGGCCTCCGGGCTGTGCACGGGGCCCCTCCGTTTGTGGTGGACACATGCCATTTGTCAGTGGCATGGGTTGACGAGCTGGGCACCCCTTGAAGGGAGCTTGCAGAGTTCAAGGCTGGTCGCCTGGGCACTCATTATCAGATCTAATTGTGGGCTCAGATTTCACAAACCAGGGGGCTGTGCAGGTGGAGGACAAGCTGCAAAGGTCACGCCTAAAAGCTTATTAAACCGCTGGTGTGAAAGGTAAGACCATCTGGATGCCATTTGACAACTTAAGTGGTAATTACACCATTTGGCGCAGGAATTAGTGAGAGCCTTGGCTTGAACTGTGGCAGGGACAGTGTGGAAGGGGGTGGGGGGTTGTTTTGGGCAGTCCCTTCCTAGCATCTCGTGGTCCTCGCTCCTGTGATGGCTGCAGGTTTTGCGCCGAGCTCTTCCGGTGGATGCAGAGTTGGCAGTGCCGGCCGGGCAGCTGGCTCCCTCACCAGCCCTGCAGCCTTGATAAATAACCAGGAACACCTGCCTTCCCAGCGCTCTGGCCGGTCCGGGCGGGAGGTGGGGGCAGCGTCCAGCGCATTCCTCCCCAGCAATATGGAAGTGTTTAAGCAGCGTTTGCACCAGGCAGGGTAGCTGAGATCTGAACCTTTAAATTACAGCCATTCCCGGGCTGAGGAAAAGTAAATAAACAGTTCACAGCTGCAGCCAACTCAACACAGAGCCGGCTATCTCTTCTGATTGCAGGACAAGTAATTAAGTGGAAATGTGAGCCCTCACCGTCAGGGTGAGATGATAAAGGTCTGAGGGCAGTAAATCCACCCAACTCCAGAGACCTCAGATTAACCCTCGCAGGGCCGGCAGGGTGGTGGGTGGGCAGGCGCGGGGGAGCCCAGATCAGAGCTCACATTAGCTCACTCACTACATGGAAACTGCCGGCCCCGCCGTGCCCTGTTTAGGGGACATGATACCCAAGAAAGCACAGGTGCTCTCTGCAGGGACGGATCCTTCTGGGCTGAGCTGTGTCCTCCAAAGTTCACACGTTGGAGTCCTAGCCCCCAGCATCTCAGAATGTGACTGTATTTGGCGATGGGGCCTTTAAAGATGCGATTAAGTTAAAATGAGGTCATCAGGGTGGGCCCTGATTCATTTCATCTGGTGTCCATATAGGATGGGGTGAGGACACAGACCTGCACAGAGGGGAAGACCTCGTGAAGACTCGGAAGGGATAGCCATGGACACGCCAGGGAGAGAGCTCCGGAGAAACCGACCCTGCTGACACCTCCGGCTCCAAATTCCAGCCTCCGGGGCTGCGAGGTGATCTGGGCTGCTTTGTCACGGCAGCCTGAGCAAAGCGACATAGAAATTTGCCTGTGTGCTGAGCAGCGTGTGCTTTAAAACGACCGACGGTCTGTCCCAAGCCCCTCCAAGGCGAGCACGTCCCATTTGGCTTCTCGTACTCATCAAAGCATTGCGTTCCCATCCCACAGATGTGGAAACTGAGGCTAAGCAAATAGCCCAGGGTCAGATAGCTAGGATGTGTGGAGAGAGACTGTTTCCCGGAGTTGGGGTACTCAAACCCGGCTGCACAGAGGAAATCACCTGGGAAGTCTTAAAAATACTGATTCCTGGGCCCCACCCCGGACGAAGGGAGTTAGAAGATGGGCAGCAATTCTCAAGGCACCCCAGTGATTTTCACCTAGAGCGAGGGTTCAGAACCACTGCTTTATACACATTTTTTCTTAAAAAAAACAAACAAACTAAAAAACAACTACACAAAAAAACCCCACACAAAAAAAACGTGGTGGCTTAGTAGGAACTTAAGCCCCATGTGTCACCTCCCATCTTTCCATATTTCCCGTGGGTGAGGCCGCTCCAGCGTGGTCCTCACATCCAGCGTCAGTTTGCTAGTGTTCATGCTGCCACCGGCACGGGCTCTGGAGCCCCTCGCCTGGGTTTGAATTCAGACTCCACCACTTGCTGTGTGACTTCAGGCAAGTCACTTGGCCTCAGTTTCCTCATCTGCAAAATGCAGATCAGAAGAGTACCTACCTCTAAGGTGGTTATTAACCGAGTTCATGTCTGTAAAGTCCTTAGAACAATGCCGGACACATGGAGTGTGCTAAAAAATGTTCGTTAGACGAAAAATGCCAGTCTCATATACTGACCCCTGGGTGGTAAGATGCTGAGGGTGGGGTTAGGAATGGGGGACAGGAACGGAGTCTAAGCCAGCTCTGCATTTCCCCCAGGGCACAGGGGGCACCGGGCACATTTTAGTGGGAGGGAACAGGGCACCCGTCCCCACCAGGCACGCATCGCCGGGGTGAGGGATGTCGTCACAGCTGACCTGTTCTGTTTACATGTAAACCGTCACTGCGGCGTCCAGAAGTCACGGAGGGCTGCTCACACGGAATCCGGGATGCCATGGCCATGTGTTTTCTCTGTCAAGAGCGAGGTCTGATGCGGAGAGCGAGGCGACCGGGCAGGCATGCACCCAGCGCCAGTGCTGACGGGGTTTTGGGCAATCCTCCTGCCTTGTATTACGTGTATGAATGTGTATCCCTTTTGTAATAAAAACAGTTTGTTTTCTTTGAAAAGAATGATGTAAAAATTGGCTAAGTCACCCCAGGCATGTTTTAGCATTTCCTGGACATCCTCGCGGCCCAGCAGGGCTGGATGCCCCTCTGTCCTTGCCTGGGGAGCACGTGCCTGCCGGGTTTCTGGCCTGTGGCCCTGGAGGGAGCAGGCACATGTCACCCAGCTGTGTGCCTGTGGGAGCCGCTGCAGGGGACTGGGCCACGCAGCCGCACTCTGGAGGTGCAGGTCCCATGGAAGCGTGGATCTCTGTGCTGACGGGGCCTTGGGGACCTGCTCCCAGGAGGGTCTGGGGACAAGAACAGAGGTGGTTCTGGGCCCTTCCACAGCTGTTTGTTCCTTCAGCCACTCCGCGGCGTGTGGGAGTCCGTGCAGAAAGGGAGCTGCCCGAGTCCCTACCATGTGCTGGTGTCAGAGCCCCGCAGTTCAGTACTCGCCTGCCACTGAGCTGCTAACGTTCTGTGCCTCAGATTCCTCTTCTGTGAAATCGGGATAATGACCTACTTTACAGGGCTGCTGGGAGGAGGAAACAAATTAAAACAGGTGACAGTGACTGCCATTTAGTATGAAGCTTTGTTACCATCGTGATTGTTTTATTCTCACTCGGAGCTGTGTCCATTTGCAGGTGAGGACCTGGAGCGCAGGAGGGCGCACTGGTTTGTTCAGTCCTTCAGCGAACAGAGGGAGGGAGACCCTGCTTATTGTCCCCCCTCGCTTCCATAGCAACAGAGTGTTTAACCAGGTCCGTCGCAACTCAGAATTAAGACCACTTTTCCCAGCCTCCATTGCAGCTCTGAAGTACATGTGACAAGCCCTGGCCAATGAGATGTGAGAAGGGACACGTGTGCCCATCCAGGGAAGGGTGGGCCCTCCTCTTCCCCCGCTCTGGGTCCTCCCGTGGTCTGATGCAGACAGGGTGATGAATGACCACAGCCCACGGGATGACCGGACAACTTACAGCGAGAAAGAACCCACTGACGTCGGAGAGCAGAACTCGGACCTTCATGGGAGGAAAAGAAATTCTCTGGACACCTTGTTTCAGCCACTGAGGCTCTGGTGTCTGTTTAGTGCAGCGGCTGATGCCATTTGTGACGCAGTCAAGCTTTAATGGTGGAGCGCAGGGCAGTGGCCGGGACACCCTCACTGTGCCTGACCGTTGGCTTGGCCTTGGGAATTAGTCTTGGCCCGTCAGCCCCTAATCCTCCTCCCCGGTACTCCTGGAGAAAATGTGAGCCAGCAACATCCTCTTAAGTTCCTCTTTTTTTTTTTCCTCTTTAAAAGTTAATTCAGCCCAGCTGAGCTTCAGTTAT